CTGTACAGCCAAGCTCCCTGAGGAAATGGATGGTTATGACCCTGGCTGTGTGCAGGTGCGTCTATAATGCAGGGTCAGCGGAGCACGACAGACTTGGAAAGTTCTGGCAGAACTCCCTGCTCTCCCTTCTCCCTTGACCACTGTTCACCCCCTAACCACTGCTCTGCTTCTATAACCTCGCTTTGCACCGATTCCCAACGAAAAATCACTACTAGAGAAGAAACAATACAAAACTTTGTTCGAAGCTCTAGAGGAGACATGAGTCCCTTGCAAAGATGCCAGCAACTCAAAGACACCCTTTTCTCCTTCTCCGCATCTGAGTGGCTTTGTTCTGGATTCCATTTGTCTCCTGCTTTGTTATCACATCACAAGAACAAGAATGATTAGACTGTGGAAAGACCATGTGTGGTCCATGAAGGGGAGGTGGAAAATAAAACTGACAGGAGCTGAGCTTCAATTTTGAACTTTTTTTTTTTTTTTTTAAGTTTGAGACAGGGTCTGACTGTATAGTTCAGGGTGGACTTAAGCTCACTATGCACCCCAGGCTAGGCTTAAACTTATGCCAATCCTCCTGCCTGAGCCTTTCAAGTGCTAGAATTACATGTGTGTGGCATTTGTTCCTTAAAGTGTGTGTAAAAAAAAATTTTGTACCAGGTGTGGTAGTACATGCCTGTAACTCCAGCACTTGGGATGCTGAGGCAGGAGGATCGCCTCAAGTTCAAGGCTAACCTGGGGTACATAGTGAGTTTGAAGTCAGCCTGAACTACATGGTAAGACCCTTTCTCAAAAAAAAAAAAAAAAAGTTGTGTTTGAATAGCTTTAAGGTATAGAAAGTAGGTTGTGGTCTCCCACACATTTTGGTTTTTAAGCATGATTAAAGTTTTGGTTGAAATCTGCTAGCACTGTCATTTCTTTTTTTTTTTTTTTGGTTTTTCTCCGGTACCGGGAACCAAACTCACAACCTTGCGCTTGCCAGGCAGGCGCTTTGCCGCTGAGCTAAATCCCCAGCCCCAGCACTGTCATTTCTTACCATAATCCTACCTTACCTTACAGCAAGGTGTGTGATCTTAACTAATTTTTTAAGTTTTTACTTTTGTTAAGTTTATTGGTACATTTTAGGTGTACATTCATCATAGGGAATCACATTCATCATAGGGAATTTGTACCTATTCATGGTATATCTTAATTCTTTTTTCCCTCATGCCCGTCCCTCCCTTCAACCCCTTTAGCCCTCATTTACAAAAGCTTTGTTTCCATTTTTTCCTTCTTTACTCATTTTTTTCTCTTCCCTTTCCCCCACCCCACTCAGTCCCTATTTCCCCTTCCCTTTTGGACATTTTCTTCCTATTTCACAACTGAGATCTTAACTATTGCAATCACTACAGAAATCAGTATGCAGATTCATCAAGAAACAAACTAGACAACTGGATGTGGTGGCACACACCTATAATCCCAGCATTCAAAGAGGCTGAGGCAGGAGGCTCACACAAGTTCAAGGCCAGCCTGGTCTACATAGTGAGTTCAAGTCTAGCCTGAACTACATAGTGAAACCCTGTCTCAAAAAACAAAATGAGCCAGGAGTGGTGGTGCACGCCTGTAATCCCAGCACTCAGGAGGCTGAGGCAGGAGGATCATTGCGAGTTCAAGACCAGCCTGGGCTACAAAGTGAGCCCAAGACCAGCCTGAACTGCATAGTGAGACCCTGTCTCTCTTTTTTTTTTTTTTCTGGTACTGGGAATCAAACTCATGTCCTTGCGCTTCCCAGGCAGGCGTTGTGCCGCTGAGCTAAATCCCCAGCCCCATGTAAGTGTTTTTTTTTTCACTTTTTTTTTGTACTGGGGATCGAACTAAGGACCTTGGATTTGCCAGGCAGGCACTTGTGCCACTGAGCTATATCCCTGGCCCGAGACCCTGTCTCAAAAAAGACAAAAACAAACAAACAAAAAAATGAAACAAAACAAAAACCTAAAACTAGAAATTCCACTCAACCCAGCTATACCCTCTGGGTATCTTCCTGAAAAAGATCATGTTACAGTGGTGCATGCACACCCATGTTTATAGCAGCACAACTCCTAATAGTTAAATCTTGGTAGTGGCCCACATACCCATCAACAGATGAATGGATAAAGAATTTTTTCTTTGGACAAGATCTCACTTTGTATTGCAGACTGACCTTGAACTCACTATGTAGCACAAGTTGGCCTCGAACTCGGCGATCTTCCTGCCTCAGCCTCCCAAGTGCTGGGATTACGGGTGTGAACCACCATACCCAGCAAAAATGTGGTATTTATGTACCCACTATATATAATAGAGTACTACTTAGGCATAAAAGACAAATTTGCCATTTGTTGGAAAATGGCTGCACTTTGAAACCATAATCCTAAGTGAAATCAATAAGACAGAGAAGGTCAAATATTGCATGTTTTTGCTTACTTGAAAAGCTAAAAGTATAAATAATATAAAGAAGCTGAGGGGCTGGGGATTTAGCTCAACGGCACAGTGCCTGCCTGGCAAGTGCAAGGT